GTTAATGTTTTTGTATGAAGACTGGTATTTGCATAAATAAAAGGAAACCTCATTCAATTTTTTAAATCAATTTTTTAAATAATTTTTTCAAAACTGTACCAGTGAGCAGCACTCTGCAAACAGTAGTGGTACAAATTTATTATTCCTGATGCATTTCATCTAATTATTGTAGACTTCTTCAAGGAGTTTTACAAGTTAAAACTAAATGCCTGTATTTATAAGCTGTAGTTAGCAGCTCTATGGGGGGCAATGACCATAAAGGCTTGGCCAGACATGCAAACAAGAACAGACAAAGTAGTGAAAAATTTGAAAATTTTTTGAACACAGTGAGAAAAATATTTAGTTTTCTTTACACTTTCTGCTCATTTTCTCTGTACCATTGCTTTCATTCAACAATAAAGTAATTACAGTCTTTACTCTACTGGCTGGGAGTTCTTTCAGTTTCCAGCACTCTGATTGGTTAATTGTACTTTTTGGTGGGTTTCATGAGAATCAACAACTTGATCACAAAATAAGAATACATTTATCATTCTCTCTGACAAACTTCACTCATATTTATGCCAAAAAAGCTATAAACCACACTTTCTATCAGTTTACCAGCAGATAAACCTCTTGGGAGAGTGCTAAAAAAGTTCATAAACCACAAGGCTATGCCTCATGGTTTACCAACTTTTCTCGTGTTCTCCCAACATCCTGCATGGTTTATTAGCCAGCAAACCGATAGAAAGAGTGGTTTATTGCTTTAGTAATAATTCGTTATGACATGTAAATGATTGTGTGTCAGAGATGGTAATGTAAACATGTGGGGTTACTTAAATTCTTTGACTCACAGAACTGATAGTGATAATAGTACAATGACAAAAACACAAGAAATTCTTCAAATGCACTGTATTGTGCTGATATATTAACTAATGCTCAGAACTTGTGTTCTGTAGCTAAGGGACATTCAGGTAAAGCCGAATCCAAATGATTAAACCACGTGGGTGTAAACATTTGTGTGAAAAGTTCAAGGTTTTCGATGGATAACGCTTAAAAATAATTTCAACAAGTTTAAATACGGTAAAGATAATGTTTTGATTCGTTTACCGTTTTTAAAAAATTACTGTCTTCTGATACATTTAAGATTCACAAGTTAAACATTCCTTGACAAGTTAATCAGTGAGTCTATATCGCAATATCGATACTGTGAGAAAGCTTTTCAACAATACTATCAAGTTTGATGGCTAATCTACGAACAACACTTGATGTTTCACTTCTAAAACATGTTTCTTACCTTTTTCTGGGTTTCAATTCATAAAAATTTGATTGCAACACATACATCTGTACAGAAAATACAAACAATCACTCCGAGATTGTTGCTATTTTACATTAGATCAGGTATCAAGCGAGCATATTTCAGTACCTACTTCACGTTGTCTCGAACATCAAACATTAAAATTGCTTTCGTATGTTTGCTCCAAACTCCAGGAGGTAGGTTCTAAAAACATTACATATTGGGAATGCTTACCGGAGCGGTCATGTCAAACTAAAATTTGTCCCAGACAACTCCTTCAACAGCAATTGCCTTCCAGCGTTGTTAAACCTGAAAAAGATAGAAGACAAGAATAATAACCTGGCGAGCGACATGAAAGATTTCTCAACTTAATGATTTCTTTTAACATTGTCGCCTAGTATACTGACTGCTAAGAACAGACTTCTAGGTCATTATTACAAACAGTCATTACTACAAACATGCTTTCTGTTTTCGCGGTCAGTTCACGGACCCTTCTTCACGCACCTTCTGGGTCGCTCTTTAGTGCATTAAAAGGCCAATCGCTAGGCATTCAACGTTCTGACTTCAAAGATCGCCTTTGTTTCGGAATAGTTAAAGCAATAAAATATTGAAAATTCCTCTTCTCGTAATCGTTGACACAAAGCCACATTCCATCGCTAAATACTACAATAGTGACGTACCAACATGGCCGCGCCTCATTAAAATTTGTCGCATATTTGTCTCATACCATTCAGAAATCCAGAACATTACACATTGATTGGCCAATAGGAAAACTTCAAATTGCAGAAGGTTATATCTATTTTTGATGTGTAAACGCCAAAATGTCATGTTATTTTGTTTAGAAGACGTATAAGTTACGAAAGTAAAATTATATCGTTTCTGAAGATGTACATTCCACATTGTTTACTAACCCAATCGCACGCTGCGTTTTTGTCTCCACATTTAAGTTCTTAAATTGGATCTTTAAATTTCATATATGTTGGGTGAAATCGTTCTATGCAAGATTCATTAACCAAGGACATCGTTCCACGGAACGCCTTTTGTCCAGAGTTTAAATGGACAAATTTTGGTCTAAACTTTCACATCTTGACGAAAACGCATCGGAACAAAACATCCACGATGTTTTGATGAACGCTTCATTGTTTTAAAAAACGCTTTTCACGAATCAAAACTTGTGTTTATTTAACTTACGTTGCTCTAAGTTGCCCCCGTTAAAATGAAGCGATTTTGCAATTTTAGAAGTGTTAATATTTATCAGCCTTGTGATCAATGATGACAGTGTATTCTCAAGCACTAATATGAACTATTATGAAATCGTCGCTAATTAATGTCATAATAAGACATTAGTGGAGGACGTTAGGGCCATGTCGATTGTCCACCGTTAATTTTCGTAGAAATAGTTAATTTCGATTTTAAACAATAATCAAATTTTATTGATAATTATTTTTGATTAATAGAAAATAGCGATCCCGTTCCCAGGGCTCCCTCTCTTACTCATCCCTTCGGACAGAAGTGATGGGCTCCTGCTTCGGAGAATTTCCGTTTCAAAAATACGAATTAACAGGACAGGGGAAAAGCGGGGAAAATCTAAGAAAAGATACGGTAAAGGCCATAATTAATCATGAACTGATTAGATCTACCACAGAGACACTCTTGATCTATCGCGTTACTGTATAACGCGAAGAGCAGAATTAGACAGTCAGAAAATTAGTTTCTCAATATGACTGCTTAACGGAAATAGAAATAAATAGAAAGGAAATTTTGCAATGTAGAATGAAATATCCGGTTACTGTATATCCTTATTCCTTTTTTCGTGTCCCTAGCCCCATCTTCCGCGCCACAACAAAAGGAGAAAGAACAATTACCATCGTTAATTAACAAATAGACTTGACTGTGCTCTGCTCTGTTGTAAAGCACGCAGGAAGCAATAGATCATAGGTAAGAACCAATCAGAATGCGTGCATAACTGAGCTTATTATATACTCAACAAAATATCGCGTTTCTGATTGGTCAATGATGAATGCATAAATAGGTTATAGAGTGCAATAGAGGTTAAAGAGTGCAATACGGAGAAGTTGCCATGGAAACACCGATGGAGTAATTTTGTCGAGAATATAATAAATAAAAGATCGTATGAACCTGCTCGTGCATTTCGTGATTTATGGTCACGAGTGATGTTTTGAAAGTTCTCAAATTGCACTCGCCGAAGGCTCGTGCAATTTTGAGAACTTTCAAAACATCACTCGTGCCCATAAATCACGAAATGCACTCGCGTTCATACGATTTCCTATACTTATTATATGAACTCTCATAGAGCACGCTCTTTCAAACAATGACAGCGCGCGTTATATCCGAACTTTATTATAATTCTTGTTACCAACACGCGGAAGATCCCGATGATCTAACATCTGTCAACTTCGGTTTCCTTTGTTTCACGTTTTTGCGGACTTTTGTTAAGTTACACTATCGTCGTAAATATGGCTTCCGGTAGTGGAAAAAAACCTATGCCGCTTCATAATAAAGAGAGTAATTATTTAGCAAGAGGACGGGAACAAGTGCTCAATTACAAGTGAACAATTTACGCAAATCCCAGGCGTTTTGATCGCAACGGGAATCCAGGAAAAATGACGTCGTGAACTTGTTGGGGAGAACTTAATTTAGCCAGACGACGGGAACGTCATTTCAGAAACACGCCTGAGGTTTGCGTAAATTGTTCCCTTGTAAACGAGACGATGCTGTTTGGAATGATTTCAAAACCCATTTCCAGGATAACTGGGTATATTTGTGAAAATTTACCGCTACATTCTTGCTTGATTCCCGAAAGAAAATCGAAACGACATGTACTAAAACACGGACGATAGACGGTAAACGACAGACGATAGACGATAGACAATAGACGATTAACGATAGACGACGACGGTAGACGGAAGACAGTAGACGGTTGACGGTGGATGGTAGACGATGGATAATTTTGCCCTTACTTTGGCATTGGCACTTTACGGGTCATTCCTTTTTTAACTGCAATAACTTCCAACTGTACAACAATAGGCACTGTTGAAATTATTGGCATTTCTCCTCTCTCGTGGTTCATGTATTAACTTGATTATTTGACTACTGATCGCCGTCAGGAAGCGGTAACTGAAGAATGTCAGCGCAGAGTGCCATAGATCGAAAATGGAAGGTGACGTTCAATCATTTAGAGAATAGATTACGTGAAGGGTTCTATGTTTCTATTGCAATCCTGAAATCAGGAGGTGTTTTCAAAAGCGCAACCACTCAAATAAAAGTTGTCCATGTTTATCTCTTTATGTCATGGCTAATTAAACGAGAAATCAAAAAAGAACTTAGCTTGCATCTCGTCGATGTTTAAAGCGACATATTAACGCCTGCAACCATTATGTTTAATACGAACCACGCAAACTTTTAAATACGCTATTATTTTGGATACCTGCGATAGTACCCATCATAATTTCCAGTAATCTGAGCGAGTCTCCCATATTATGTGCTGAGATTGGACTTTTCACCTTTATTCTTGAGCGGAAATGCTCGATTGTACTCCAAGTCAGAAAAACTTTCTGAATTTCCTCCCCTCCAAAAACTGGTATTCAAAACCTGTCCACAGTATTGTTTGTTACGATTTGTACTATAGTCGGGATGCGATTACTGCTCCCCGACAACAACAAAAACCAGTGTTGGCCGAGGTCGATGGAAAGAAGACATCACGAGATCTTGTGACTTATCTTTACTCAATTTCAATTCATTCCAAAGAATCCGTGTATCCATGTACCGGTCGCAGTTAACTAATTTGGTTCTACTTTGATTCGTATTGCCAACAAATAACGTCTTGAACGTAATGTATAGTTGCGCATCATCAGCAGTAGAGTGATGACACATCCGATGCCGTTAAGCGATTAAAAATAGCCTTGATGCAATCATTTTGATGATAAAAACTAACATTACGCTGTTCTGAGGATCGTCTTTGCTTGTTATGTAAAGATGTTTACGTTCACTACTGATTTTTTTTGTTTTGTTTTTTTTAAAAAGGAATAAAAATGGAATCACCAAGGAAATTTTACTTGATTTCATTTTTGAAAAAATACAACGTCAGGGTTTTTTCTCCAGATATTGAACAATATTGCGTGGCTACCCCCACTGCTCTTTCTTGACTTTGATAAGATCTAGCTGGCTTGCTCAGTCACTGGCCAGACAAAATTGGATTTCTATTTGCAGGTACCGTCCTTAATTAAGAAAGCTTCCACTGGATATCAATGTCACTCAGTTTGTATTATTCATTTGCAATATAAAGACAATTATTCAAGTAGCACAAGTACAGCACTGCAATGACGTATTTCCAACACAGCAGCAGATACGATTTTCTGTTAAGTCGTTCCTCAGTCACTGCTGCTGCTGCTGCTACTACTGCTTCCAGAAATATTCGATCCTGGAAATAAAAAAATGGGATGATTAAGTAAGGGCTCCCTTGTTTGAAGATAATGAGGAGTAACAATAGCCTCTCAAGGTACTACCAAAATCTGATCGTTGTATCGGATATCTTTTCCATTCATTTTATTACGGTAACTTTTTACAACAGCCACCTTGAGGACAGATGGAAGAAGCTGTGGCAAAGAGGGGGTCGTGATGGAAGGTAACTTCTTATTTCGAATGTTAGAACACTGTTATTTCCAAAATATAGCTATTTCAGCTCTTAAGTAGGCAGAACAGCAAAATGTGCTAATGAAAGACAAACCAGAGATTTGCTGCACACAATTGCTAACTAAACCATACGGGAAACGCACAGTGAATAAACCACTTTGTGAAAAGTTTGCTTTGATATTGAGGACAATAAGAGAAGAGGTTATCCAGGCAGTTGTGACACGCTTTGTGGACCTACAGCCATTGTAAGGAGTTGGTACTCGGTGGAGTTCTCTCAGAGCTCTCTTAAAAAAGGAACCGAGCTATTCATTTCTTTTGAAGATAAGATACAGCAAATAAGTATGTTACCTGCTGTAATGACAACTCTTTCTCGCGCTCCTCTAGTCTTCTGCACTCTGTAATGAAGACCATAATTAAGGGCAAAGAAATTACCATCCTTCTTTGGGTCAGTGCACACCCAGTAATGACCTTCCCAGGAAGTGGTGCGCCAGCATCGACCCTTGGCGAGATGCTTCTTAGTCTCACGGCGGCCTTGAGGATTGATCCATTCCAACTGGACTGGACACTTAGCACGGTTCACAAATTTTACCTCAACAGGGACGGTCACGTGAGCCTCTGACTTCAAACTGTTGAATGAACTTCCTGAGAAAGAAAAATAATCGTTGCACTTTCTTATTTTAAACAATGTTATTGATATTTATTCTGTAAACGTACAGTAGCAACAATATAAAGTGAGTTCCTTTTAGACCTTCCGACAATTTTAATGAGGCGCATACATTTTCCCCAGGAATGTTCCTTGAAATGTCTTTGAATTAAATGTAAATTGATTTGATGAAAGGCACAATAACGAAAACATTTGAGTTATTTGTTCTCGGTCAATTTACGATAATCTTCGCTTACTGTAAGAATTCTCACGGAGGACAAAATTGATAACGTGCAAGCACCTCTAGTATTCATCAATGAGTCTGTAAGTACTGTATGGTTCAAACGCTCGTAAATGTGTTCTTCCTGTTAAGATAATAAATTCTCGTGTGTTGCTATGTTCCTAATACCTACAAGTGTTCGCATAACTTTAACATCGCGTTACAACAGACGCAAAACAACTTAAAACATCGCAAAGCTTTCATTTGACTTAAATTAAGTTTTAACTGAAGTTATATGATATGGGCCAAACAGTATTACAGTTTTACCAATAATATTAACTGACCATAAGTGCACTTGACAACTAAAGTGCCTTCACTCGTAACCCTTCTTTACATGTTGAAGCCGGTTACTTTGTACGTTTGGTAACTGCATTCCGGTCTAGGCTTATAACAAAGTGTGAATTCCTCCGTATTACTTTGTTTTTGGTATCACTACACCTCTTAAATTCTCCAGTCGGATGTGATGTTACTGCTCAGACAAACTCTCTGTCTGTTAAGTGTAATGCTATTTAACAATTATTCGCCTTCGGCTCAGTGATGCTCACTGAGCCGAAGGCGAATAATTGTTTTAGTATAATCGCTCAGACTCAGTGAACATAATTTGTTGAATAATCTCCTCGACTTTGTCCCGGGAATTATTCAACAATAATATTCACCGAGCCTGAGGCGTATAATTGTTTAGGTATAATTGCTCAAGTGGTTTCGAATTGCAAATTCTGTAAATAAATAGAGAAATTGAAGAAAGAAAGAAAGCATTGTGCATATTGTTACAATTGTGGTGATTACTCGTATCAAGATAAGCAAAGAGTTTTAGCATGTTTATTCAGTTAAACCAGCAAAAGCTTTTTATCTTTCTCTTAAAAAGTGTTCCGCCAAGCGCAGAATAATTTTTTGTACTCCTTGCAATTGAATTTTCTTCCATCGCGTTTGTCACTTCCTCAGAAACATTGACAAAGTGCGAGGCAGTCACTTTTAAAATTTAGCGCCCCTACCATAATCACCTCGTGCGAGGTGATTAAGAAACCTTAAATCTTATATCATCTGTTGATAATTATCCATCCTTGTACTCCATATGATCAGTGTTGTTTCTGTGATCATTATAATAAATGTGGAAATTACTAGAAATAGTTTACACTTGTGTCACACACGGGAGTGCCATACCTGATGGTTTCTTTATTTCAACTTCCACATGCTTATCACCATGTTTGTGAGGGAAAACATAAAATACTGGAGAACCATTAATTGGCAGAGGTTCACGACTTAGTTTCCTATTGAAGGCCATGAAAACATGCGTCTCATAGGTGTCTACTGTCTTGCTTTGGCCTTCCTTTATATTTCCTTTTCTTTTCCTCCTTCCTCTTTTGTTGATCCAAAACAGTTTCACTTTCTTGCCTGCCTTGTTAGTGAACTTAACGGAGAGTGGATGCTTATCTTCTTTGGAGTACAGAGCTGCAGAAGTTGAAAAATTCAAACCTGATGCCAAAGATACTATATGCTTAACTAAAAAGCTACCTACAGGCTTCCTACACCAGTTCTTGCACTCTAAATTATTCACATTTATCATAACCACTACAAATTCTTCAAATATTATTGGTGCATTTGCAGCTTCATTTTTCACTATTCATTCTGTACAGTCGTCATCGGACATCAACTGTAATTGGACACCTGTAATTGGACAGTTGAAGCAGCTGATCATACCAATCCACTCAGCTAATCCACCAATCACAGAAAGGATCACAATAACCATAGTAACAACCACTTATCCAAAGAATAAACTGAGGAATTTCCAAAATGGAGGAGTTTTCAACCAATGGCATTGTCTCCACAGGAGATATTTGTTCTAGGTGCATTTGTTTTTTTCGGAAATTGAAATGGTCATGATTTATAGGTAATAGGACTTCTTGTTGTCTAATTCTGTCTGTAATCAAACAAGCAATTAACAAATTGGACTCCCACTTCATGTTCCTCCAATTTTGTCAATCACTTGTATGATTACAGACTGAATTGGACTCCACTTGGCCCTATTACCATTATTAATTCAAGCTTTATCTTGTCTAACTAGAGTGTAAGTAGGCTTGGTCATTGCCAAAGCTTTCTTGCATGAATTACTTAATTAAAATTCAGAGTAAATTGTCAGCAACAGAGTGTCTGTTTGTTTAGTGACAAAACCAAATAATCACAGTTTTTTTACTTCCATGGAGAAGATTTTTCTCAAAAAGGGTGCCTGAAAGTGAACAATTCCAAACTTTCCATTACACAGGAAAATTAAATGAGCATCTGGAAACAAGCATCCTTTTGTTTGTAATTATAATTAGATGAAACTGTTATAAAACAGTCTCATTTGATCAGGTGTTGGGTTAAGATAAAAAAAAATGTCCAACATGATACCTGCGAGGAATAGGAATACAGATAATAATTTGCTGGGATTTTCCTCTGAAGAAAATATATTTCTCTCAACTGTCAGTTAAGCATCTCCTTGAAGTTAAACCCTGTCCTTGTTTGCTTCAATGATTATTTTTCCTCTGAGTAAATTTTTTATATCTATCACCATTTTAAAGAACGGTCCTTTAGTAACAATGCCTTTAAGGCGACAAATTAACAAAGTGCTGAACTGCTTTGCCATGTGACATGTATAGTCTATATGTGTACTGTGCAGTCACAACAAGAACTCTATCAGTAAGAGTGTCTTGACACATCTCTTCCTTTAACCTCCTCTTCAATCTTTAAAAACATACCAAATCCTGAAGGGTCACTGTCATCACTTTCCACATCCTGTAAAAAAAAAAAAAAGGAAAGAATTGTTGAATTCAATCAATAATACTGATACTTCGTGTGTATAGATGGGTACCTACATCTACCATTAATAGGTCATTCTTTTGAAGGCAACAGTTCACTACAGATAGAAATAAGAAAGATGGTAAGTTTTTTAGCTCAGTAAAGAAATAGAGAAAGATGGTAAGTTTTTGAGCTCGGTAAAGAAATAGAGAAAGATGTTTTTTTTCATCTTGTCACGAGTGTGGGACAAAGAAAAAATTCTGAGTCCTCACGAGCAATTAAACCTCAGATTTAGTGCTCCGATGCTCTAACCCTTAGAGCATCGGAGCGTGGAATCCGAAGGTCTGAGGTTAGATTCCTCTCTGTGGCTCAGTGGTTAGTGCATTGGAGCGTGGAATCCAAAGGTCTGACGTTTGATTCCTCATGGAGACTCATAATTTTTTCTTTGTTCCACACTTGTGACAAGACAAAAAAAAAAAAGTGAACTCAGGACCCATTAACTTGAAATGAATCTAGTTTACTACAGCTTCCACAATTCCTTTAATTTTCCTTTTTTCTTGCTGCCTTATTGTAATAATTCTACTGAGGTTTAAGTGCAAGTAAGCCCTAATTTGAACAAGGAAGCAACTGACTGAAGGATCATGAAAGCTGTTGTCATAAGATGTCATAGTGCAAATGGCACGAAAGTGGCTCCCAGGTTGGTCAATAAGAACCGGTTAAAATGATCTCTTTAACACTCAAGTCTCTCAGTCAGCACAAAATCTCTAAACACAACCTAATATAAAGAGTTATGTCCATTCAATTTGTCTTCAAATTGATTCAGAACATTTCAAGCAAAAACCACATCACATCATATTATGTCTTCTAATTAACAGTAAAAATCATAATTTTGATCTAGAGTGTTAAAATAATATGGGTCTTGAGGGCCAGAAATAAAGAAAGTTGAAACAAAATGAAAGGGTGGCTTCATATTTAAATATGTTGTTAAAATAATAAGGCATTGATTCACTGTTCTCACTCATTCATTGCAAAAACAAGACACAGAAAAATATGCCCTCTTCCCAGCCACATTTCAAGGTTAAAATGGTCCAAATTTCCATTTTGAATTCTATCTTTCCAAAGTTTGTGTGATTTTTATGAAAGATGGTGACATTAAAAGAAAGGGAAATACAATTTGAAACAAAGATAAAATTTAATCATTGTACCTCAATTACAAATGTATTGTAACAATACCTCAACCAATAACATAGGAATACTTACCACATGTTTGTTACCAGGGTGTGGTCCTGGTGGGAATGCACCAGGGTGTGGTCCAGGTGGATGTGGTCCACCATATGCTGGAAATGTCCCTGAGTGTGGTCCTCCTTGTGGAGGGAAAGGTCCATGAGGTGGCCCACCAGGGGGAAAATAACCTACAGGTAAAGGACCTACCTGAGGAGGGGGATAAGCTCCTGCAGCTGGTCCAGGATAAAACCCTGCAGCAGGAGTACATGGTGGCTGAAGAGCAATTAAAAAAACATTTAAGGTCAAGAAGGGATTGGAGAGTGATCTCCACTCTACTTTAACCACAAAACATGATTGATCTTGACTGGCAGTTAACTTTGTTTGTATCTTAAATAAATTCAGAGATTTTTTAATATACAGGGGAAATTTATAAAAGATTTATCAACACTTCATAATTCAAAACCAACTAAATGGCCCCAAGTTTTTTCACAGACAGATGATGCTATCCACCAGATAAATCACTATCTGGTTTGTTTAGTTAATGATTTAACAAAACTGGATGGAAATTCAACCAGTAGAAAATGTTGCCTACCTTCCAACAACTTATGTTAGCTTGGAAAAGGAATTTGTCCATTTCATAAATAAAAAGCATGTGACAAAATAATTGTTGCCCCTGTGAAAACCTACCATTGTTAAAGTGTTTAACCAAAAATCTCAAAATGTACAAATTTTGTAACTTCATATCACTCATGAGCTCACTAAATTGCTGTTGCTCTTGAATTTTGTATAAACACAAAGATAATTTACACTCCTTTTAACATAACACATCTAAATTTTCAAGTGCGGGGCACAAAGGTTAGACACTTGGGTCTTGCTCTGAAAGGAAGGTTCTAGGGACCTTCTTTGATCAGCAATAAAAATAAGCTACAGTGTTTGATTACCTTGTAACAGGTAAATATTGCTAGTTCTGACTGTGAATATATGAAAATCATATATTTGAAGTGCAGATTAAGAAATGAATATCAAAGTGCTCTTCCCAGTATTAAACACTAAAAATTCAGGCCTGTACTGGAATTGAACCTATAACCTCTGCGATACTGGTGCATGCTCTAACAACTGAGCTAACAAGCCAACTGGGAGCTAGTAATTATGTTGATTCATAATAAACCAAAGAAGTGATGATTAAATGACTGTGAATATACAAGAAATGAATATGAAAGCCCTCTTTCCAGTAATGAACTGAACTTAAGCAGTAATGAAAATAAGACCTGAAAAACTCTACCACACATGGCTAGTTCTGTCAGTAACAGTCAATTTTTTTTTTACTCATTTAAGTAAACAACTATTGTACAAAGCTTGACATTACTGGGTATGCAGCCTGTGCAGGTGTGGGTGGCATGTAGTATCCTCCAGTTGGGTTATAGGCTGGTGGTGCAAATCCCTGCATTCAACAAAAAGACAATCAACTCATTATCTGTATAATTATAATACTACCACTCACTAACCAACTTAGCAGTCTGTTGTGCAAGTTTTCACCCTTAGATTTATGGCCCAATAAATAACAAGTGAGGCATGCAGGCCATAAATCAAAGAAGGAAAAAATAATAACAAGTAATTTTAACGGGAAACCAAGATGACAAGCTTTGCAAGATGTTCATAACTTTTCCATTTTGTGTTTGAATTGTTCAGGTAACAATTTCTGGTCAAGAGGAGGAGCTTCAGAGGAATGTTTCATAATATACACAAAACAAATTTAACGATAAATACTCAGTAGTAGGCATGCTCTGACACACAATTTTAAGATAATGAAATATTTTGATTTTATTTTCACTCTTACTGCAAGTACAATTTCCAGAACAAAGAGAGTTTAGCAAACAAAAACACCTCAAAATGCCAACAGGCTGAGCAAATGAATTGACAAATCACAGCATACAGTATAACTGAGAGAAAAAAAATCCACCAAGAATCTGACTGTGCCTTTTTAGAAGCCTCGTGGTTTATTATTGCTACAAATTAATGACTAGGAAATAAATTTAATTTCCAAAGGTAATGACAGTCCTATTTAAACAGCTGAGTTATCTCCAGAACTGAGAATTTGTACCTTTGGTATAGGAAGGGGAAAATTCAGGTTTTGGGTTTTGAGGTTTGCATTGTTTTCATGTCTGTTATAAAAATATCGCTAAAATCCAATTATAGGCTTCAAATTGTCTAGGAATAAATTTTGTGCACAGTTAATCAAATGTGTCCACCTTTGCTCATAATACTGCACTCACCTGTGGGTACCCTTGTCCAGGGGAAGGGGGTAGGTGTTGTCCGGCAGGTGGATAATACATATGAGGGGGAGGGTGAGGGGGATCACCACTCATGCTGTTTTAGGCTAAATAAAATATATTTAAGTAGATTAGCCTCGACATTGTCAAAATATAACAAGGTGTGTGTGAAAACTATGGGGCTTTGTCGCTAACCCATGTGCATAATCGTGTCATCAAACAGCTGGTATTTCTTGCGCAATTTCCTGATCTAATTTATTTAACACCCTAGGAGTTTCGATGCCTTATTTATCAACGTATAGCCCCTATTGGAAGCTTAGATAAGTAATAATCAAAGATGCACTGTAACGAGAGCTAGGTTATACAAGAGCTAGGTTATACGATATGTGTCAGTGCATTTAAGAACGAAGTCCAGACTGAATGGATCAATAAAAGTTTCCATCAATGACCAACTGGGATCTGTATGAAGCTTATTCTGAATAAAATTTCCGCACAGTCCCATAGTGTTGCGAAACAAATCTTTTTTCATAATGGCAATGTATTGTTTTTGTCGTTGTTTTCTTTGTCCAAGAACTGAATGCACAATGTAGTAAGGGACTGTGTGGAAATTTTATCGCATTCTGAGTATTTAACATGGACTTACCTTCGACTAAGGAACGAGCAAATAACAAGCAAGTAGAAATAACGTCGACAACTGTCGACAATAAATTTTAGAAAAATTGTTGAGCTTGCAGATAGGAGTAGTATGTGTTTCATGTAAGCGCATTGATCTATCATCCTGTGCAACCGCGAAGAACTGGGCAGGAGTTCAAGAGCCAAGGCGAGGCCATCATCAGTTTTCTTATGACCATCCGATTCTTTGAATTTCCCCCCTTAAAAATTAACTCTTGGTGTTTTAGTGAACTGTTTCTTTGTGGAATACATGATTCGATTTTTGGGACTTTCAGTGTGTTGGGGGGAGACTAGGACATGGCAACCAATTGACCAATTTGAAGTGGGGAAGCTTCAGGCTTCCACTTCGACCAGATTTCATATTGAGGATTGTAAAACCAAAATCAAAGTTATCCACTAATCCAAACCAAAACCAAAGTCAACCACCAATCAGAACAAAGGAAAATACCTTGGAGAGCCAATGAGAACTCAATGGAAAAAACCCTCCAACTAATCAAAGTGTAAGAAAATATAGTTGGATAAGTTATGATGGGTATTAGTTGTGCATCCAATTGGTTGAGACAGTGGCAAGACTTTTTTTGGACCAACTATAGAGTGAAGTAGAGCAAACCAATGACATCTCGTATGACTTTAAATGCTCAGTTCTTAATTACTCTATAGTGTTGAGAATAATCATGCAAGCAGGACACTATTCTTGCTTGTAGTATAGATACCTTTCCCTATGATTTTTTTCTTCCTCTTGTCAATAGCTTTTTTGTATTCAAAACAGTCTCACAGGTTTTTGAATGAGAGGGAAAAAGTTATTTGTATTCTGATTATCTGCTGGAAACAGACTGATTGATATAAGTACAAACAGCAATCTGATAGAGTGTTATGGGACCTTAACAAGTTGACTTAGACTATTTAGTAGATTAAACCATTTGACCATTTTAATACAGGAGCTGGATCAAAGAGAGTGGACCCTATTTGTTACTTTCACTTGCTTTTATTCACTATAATACAGTCATTTACTAAACAATAAACTACTCCTTTTGAAGTCACTAAGCTAATGAGTATATCATTACCCATCTTTAAGCAAGATAACATGACAAAAAACAAATTTTAATAAAATGTGATAGCAATAAAAAATATTTCAAAAAATTCATTTGCAATGAAATACTATTTTTTGCTTACTCTGCTACTGTAACCTCACTTCCCTTTGACTTCAACTGTTTTATATTATTATTATTGTCATTATTCTGAGTGCATCATTTCTCTCTGTGGTTGATTCCAAGGAACAAACATGCTGGTTATTAAAGAGTAGTTCTTATGGGCATGTTGTGCCTACACTGCAATCAACTTATTCATGACAGTCAACCTTCTTCTATCGACTCTCTAACACCAGTTGGCCCTTTTGAGCTGAGTAACTTTCTGGTAATCTTTCCCCAGGTTAATCTGCTCTCCTTAGGGAGGAAAATCACTGCCCTTGTTGACTTCAGTGACCCTTGGCTCAGTGTGGTTTACTGTCAAACCTGACACTTTTTTAATATGGGTCATAACGAAGATGATTTCTGGGTTTTCTGGCCAGGTCAGGATGATATTGAGAACTATACCTGCAATAAATCAAAGTGTTACAGACACAAACACATGGAGATTGGAAGGAAAGGTAGCATTTTACAGTTGGAAGAAAGAATAGGAGACTTGATTGTAAAGAAATAAATTCTTAGGACTAAACTGTTTCTCCCATGTCTTCCAATACTATAAGATGAAAGAGAAGCAAAACCTATTAATTAAGAAACTTCAATTCTCATAAAATCAAATGATTACATAAAGCTTGGTTACCTATAAGCTGTGTAATCATCTTGTAATTTTCCTCCAGCAATAGATGTACCGCTATCTCCTCTAGCAGAAGCCAAAAGCTTCCTTTCTCGTTCATGTTCCTCTTGCTCTCGTT